AAAATGAATTAAGTAATCTATTTCCCATAGTCAATTAACATTATAGTCATTGGCCAATTAATAAAAATACAAAGTATAAGATTTTTATCCATTGATTTAATTACATTGATATATATTAACTAAATTCTAAGTACTTAAAAAAAAAACATTAGAAATAAACTCTTGTTGATTAGCTGGTTTTAATTAAAGAGATGTATTTGCACTTTACAGATTTTAACTTTTGGTTATTTTTATTATAAATAATAATAAATTAAGATATAACTTTTCTAGATTATAATCTTCATATTGTTATCCTATCTCAAGATCAAAATTGTTTAAATTTTAGACTAATTTGCTTAAATTGGCTTAATATTTACATCAACTTTCAATTATAAACTTATTGAAAAGAAGAATTTAATTAGTAGAAGGATGCATACTTTAAGTAAACTAAGCAGATAGTTATTTAGTTATTTATAATTAACCTTATTTTTTGAATTAAAAAATTTGATTTTCATTCCATAATTCTTCTCTCTCTCATTAAGTGACCTTTTGTTGTCAGCAATTCTACTTGAACTTTTAATTCATTTCAACAATTTTTACAATCAATAAAAATAAAATTGTTTTTTAATTTTACTAAGGGAATAATGTTATTTTAATTTTAAATATAATCTGTTTTTAAGAGGAATAATAAATACATTGATAATAATCGTGTAAATTATCTTTATGATAAATGCTAGTGAATATGAAAAGAGTGTCAAGAAGATAAGAAATCTAATCTTAATAAAGAATTAGAAAAAAAATGTTCAACTTGCTTTTAAATTACTTAAATCCATTCAGATTTGATATTTGAGATTTTTAACAGTGTAATTTACAATAGAAGAGTTATAAACCAATAATTGCAAAATAATAATACAAAGTAAAATTAAATAACAAAATTTTAATTTATGTCATAATACTTAAATTGAATTGTTAAATGATTGAAATGTAATAACCAAGAAAAATTACATCTCCATGTTTTTTTTGAAACTAAAAAAGATTGCCTACATTAATAAAATGAATATGATATGATTATTTTTAATATTTAATATTCATTGATTCAATTTCTTTAAGCAAAATTCTAATTTAATACGTTAAGCATACCCTTTTAGTTTTTTGAATATTGACTATTAGGATCAATCTTTAATGATTTCTCATAATAAATTAGAGCTTCTTTAAATTGTTATTAATCTCCTTTAAACAATCTCCTAACAAATACAATGATATAATACCTTTGCTTTAAAGAGAAAATATATGTTGCGGATTGATGGACAGTGCTTAATCAAGTAATTATAAAGATTCATTATATTTTTTAGTAATCTTATTCTAATTTAGTTCATGATAAGTTAATAAGCATTCCCTATTAATATCATTATTATTCAATCTACCTTTTAGACTTAAGGAATTAACATGCTTAGGATTATAAGCTAATGCTTTGTCCAACCAATTGATTGCATCCTCATATTTATTTAAATTTCTTATATTTAATTTAATAATAAGTTAATAAGCATTAATCTATTAATTAACTATAATTTCACCTTTACACCATAGAGATTCATGGTTATAAGGATTATATTGTATTGATTCATCCAATAGTTATATCGCCTCGACATATTTATCTCCCAAATATAAATCATAACCTAAAGATTAATAAAATATGATTACCTTTATGATATAAATCTTTAGATAATTTTATAGAATTATCATCAATATAACAATAATTAAATTATGATAATTATAATTATTAATATAAATTATTTAATGAATTAGTTAATTTCTTAATCTATTCTGAAATGATTGTTGTAATTGATTATTTCTATTCAAAGAATTTGATAGTTGAATTTAAATAATCATTTATTTACAATGAATCCAAGTTTACCAATCTTTCCTTTTAAAATGAATATTTATATCTGATTCCCATTTTTAATAAAGAAAATGGTTTATTCAAACTTTCTACATATGTATTAAGATCATTAATCAAATTATCACATTCTAGATTTTTCCTTTCAATAAAATCCATTAATGTATTAATCTTTTCAATTTCATCAAAATGATCATGATGGATTCTACTTTTCTTAAGACATTTAAAGCAATTTAATCTAAATTCTGTACAATACTAGTTATAACAAACTGTTTCTATCTCATCCTTATGATCATCTTGCTAACATTTTAACTTACGAAAACCATTTTTTAAACATTTTATATCTAATATATATTCATTCACACTCTAATTTATATTATCTTAATTCTATTAATACTCAATATAATATATAATCCTTTTTCTTAAGATTTATAAAAATGATTAAAAAATTACACTTAATATATACAAAAAAAAATAAATATTGCTTAAGAATAAATGAAAAAGCAAATTTTTAAACGATTGAATAAAATATATAAACTCCCCTCTTAATCCACGCTTCTTTTTGGTCTTTTAATAAACTTAGACACAGAAAAGGAATATTCCAGTTTTTCAAGAATTAATTTGAGATCCCCTAATTATGATTATTCTTTAACATTTATATCAAAATTATGATATATAGATATTAACATATTTTAGATAGACTTTTGTAAATTAATTTAGATGATTATTTCCTATTTTATTTTATTACTAATATAGATTTAGTTTATTTAATATTCTATCTATTTAATCGAGTCCCATTTTTTAGTATAATATTGAAATTATTATGATTATTGTTAAGTTAAAATAAAATTAATGCTTACTTTTTTTGTGGCTAGCCTTATTAATAGAATCTTCTTCTAATTTACTTTACATAAAACTTGTTTTGAAATCTATTGCTTTTTTCCATATCTAATTTATACGTCTATCAAATGTAATTAAGTCTTATCAAAGTATTTTTAATTTTTATCAATCTAAATTCCACTTTATTAGATTCTCTGTCATATCTCAATTAATTATCTGTTTTCTTCAACATAATCTAATGTATATTCCATCCAATTATTGCTAATTTCTAAGATTTCTTCATATTTTCTTAATATATAATATTTAAGTGTTGATTTGTTCAATCAAATATTTTGCAGTAATTTATCATCTTCTTTAAAAAGGGGATATTGATCAAAAACTAAATATAGTGCTCCATTTTCAATTTGATTTAAAATTTCTATAATAGTTATTAGATGTAATCCCTAGGTCCAAATTCATTTCTTCCATTCAATTAGCTGTCATTATTTTAAGAAATATTTTATATGTATCTAAATCTCTTAGATTTTATTAATTTCCCATGAATGATATTTTTAACATGGTATCATCCCTACCCTCGTTTCTAGGATCAATTTAATTTAATCCTGATTACTGAGGTAAAGTTATGTCTAAGCATTTTATTAGAAAATTTATTTCAGATTAGATTCCTAACATTAAAATTAAATTGAAATTTGTAATAAATAAAGCAGAATAAACCTTCTTTTTAACAAATGAAAGAGATTAAGTGAACATGATATGTTTATTCTTGCTTGATGCTAAAAGGATGAATAAAATCATAATGCATTGTTGGATTATTTGTATATTGAGATTTTAATAAAAAATTAAGATAGGAAAACAACTTATATTTTGAAGGAAATTTATAAAACTTAAGGTAATTGCTTGTGCATAGAATGATAATTCTAAGTTTTGTAAGTTTAGAAAGAAACTATTTTAAATCATATTACTAAACATAATAAATCACATAAGAATAAAATTAATGCAGAGAGTTAGATTACTATGAAGTAGTAAGATTTAATATAATTGCCAAAATGAAACTTTTTTTCTGAATATTAAAAAAATTTCATTTCAAATTTAAAAGATAGTTGAAAAAAAAAGAGTTTCTGGATAGCCTAACTATAAAATCATTGACAAATAATTATATTAAATTCAAATAAATCTTTTTAATTGATATTATTTTCACATAAAATATGATGATTATTTCAATTTTTTTAACCTGAAATAATCATTATTTTTTCCACTAACTAGAATAGTTCATAGTAATCGTTCTGAAAGAGATAAATTAAAAAAATTTCTGATTTTAAGATTTTAAAATATGAAAATATCAAAAAAAAATAATAAAATAATAAAATTTGTAAGTCGCATTATTAAACTTTCTAATCTAATACATTCTCTAAATAATTTAATTTTTCTTAATATTATTCCTTGATCTAAGTGGGAAAAATATTAATTTTCTAAACTGTTTCACCAATAAATATGAATAATATCTTATGACACTAAAAAAATAATTTTCAATAACTCATTTCAATTAAAATTTGAGCCATATTTTAAGAAGTTAAAATTTTCATCATTCCCTTTAAATAAATATTAGGAGCTTAATTATTCATAATTAAATTTGAGAATTTATACATTAAAACTTTGTAAGTTTAAAAATCGAAATGAACCAATTAGAATGTACTAATTCATGGAAAAAATTAAAAAACAATAACTAATTTTAAATATTAAATGTATTTCTATTTACTTTAACAATAAAACTTGTTGAAAAATCTTTAACTAGCCAAAACATGAGTTCTTAAAAAAATAAATTAATAATTTTCATGAAAATACCAATTAGAAAATCTCACATTCTACAAGATTCGGTGAGGATTATCCAAAAAGATGATTACCAATATTATCGATTTTATATTAATCGCATTGATAGACCTGTCCTAAATTATTTGAAGATCCACCTGTAAAATCAGAATTGATCACAATATCACAATTTTCTCCAAATAAAATTCCGTATGAGCTTGATTAATAACAATATATAGCCTTAGATTTTTTTTCCTATTTTAAAGGATAAATTTAATCATGGGTTTATGAAAATAAAAAAGACGATAGTGTGTCATCTTATACATAACCAGAATCCTTTGTCCATTAACAAGGTGTAAATCCTCCAAAAATATAATCACTTTTAGATTTGAAAATCATAAACAAGTTATTTTTAGAATTACACTTGCTCCAAAATGTTGATCCATTAAGACCATCTTTTGTACCTTAATATATTAATATTGAGTTTTTTATAGTTTTTTTGACTCTTTCTTAAATTATATAAAATAATTTAATCCAAAAATCATCTTTTAATAATGACGGTTTTAAAAACTATCCTTTTTAAATATAATTTTTTTATTTTTAAAGAATTGCTTTTATAAAAA